TGTTACCAGAGAGTAATACATTGTAAAAAAAAAAAAAAAGTCAAACTGCAATCTTATTACCTAGACTAATGATAGATTAAATATTTCCATTGAGAGGAGAAAAGATTAGGAATTATGAGAATCTACTGTGTACCTAGTGTCAGAAAATACTTTAAAAATGATTTTTTTTTCTCGTAATGCACAAAAACTCACAAAGGACATATTGAACTCCATAGATAAGGAAACCAAGGCTCATGTGTCACACCGAGGATCTCACCTGTGTTTACAGGCTATATCCCCTACACCTTGCATAATAGTAGATAGAATTTAAATCTGACTCTGCTTGCTACCTAAATCCATACCTTTTCTACTATATTATGCTGCCTTCTCAAATGTTTGTAAAACCTGAATTTTCATAGAACCTGACTCATAATAGTTGATAAAACTCCTTCATATTCATTGTTATCTCACATCATCTTCAAAACAATCCAGACACGTAAACATTATGGGATGGAAAAAAGAGTACACAAGTAGACTATCTTAACTAATCCAACCACATATGACCCTAATAACATGTTAGAGAGCAGATAAACTGCCAAGTGAGCTGAGCTTAACGAACCCTAGTAATTGCCTTGTGCTGTGTAAGATGTACTTGATTTTCCTGAGCATTCAGCATTGCTAAGAAATATGCTTGGTAACAGTGAAAGCCTAAACATTATCAGCCAAAAAAGAAAAGTCACACATTAGTGATCAGGCTATTGAAACCCAGAGACAAACAGAACTGGGGAAGAAGTCATCCCCCTTTCCTGAACTCCCTATCTTCAGGGTGGTTAGCTGCCAATATAAATAGTGTGGGCTCTTCTACAGTAGAGAAATTGTTAATTTTCCCTTCTTGTTCTTTTTTTCTTTAACTTCTGTTGTCATAATATTATACCATAAAATCTAGTGGTTATTGGCTTATAAAATCAGACACTAATATAAATTAATTATAAATTCAGGGAAATGTATGTATTAAATAATTGTTTTGCAGAACTTTTCCTGGAAGAGAATGACCTTACTACCTGTTTTATTGGTTGAGGAACTAGTTGATATTCATCTCACCAGCTTTTGAGTTAGAAAAATTTACATAACGATGTTTGCACTTAAAGTATTTTTAAATGTCTAATGTCCTTTCTTACTGGATCTATGCAAATGTCTCGGGATCAGACAGTGCCAACATTTGGTATGCATTTATTCACCCCAGTGCCAAGGGCTACTACTTAATGCCATTGTTTTCCCTGCTGAAACCAAACCAATGTCTATGCTGCACCTTGAGATAACTTGTGCCCATAACTTCTATCAGTTTTGTTCCATTTATTATTGGCTATCCATCCCTCAAGAAAGATTTGCTCACCTTACCAATTATGAAAAAAGCCTTCAGCCTGTAAATCCACATAAATTCTCATAGACAGTGGCTAAAAATATCAGTACCAAAACAGTGTCAGTACCTATACAATGCTTCGTTCCCATTAAAATGAAAAGCTGGTTTAAAAATCACTTAGGCATTACATTACTACCTTCAGACTGAACCCATGAAATCACAACCTTTTGTATCCTAGCTTAGCATATGTTTGCTTTAGTTATACTAATTTTTTCCCAAAGGCATGCTGAAAACAATAATATAGCAATAATTCCCCTGGAAATACTTTAAGGCAAATTACTTTCTAGTGGTTTTTGTTGGTGATGTAGTGGAGGTTTTTTGTTTGTTTATTATTTGTTTGTTTGAGACAGGGTCTTGCTATGTGCCCAGGCTGCTCCAGCCTCACAAGTGCTGAGATTACAGGCATTTACCACCATGCCCTGTTGAGACAAATTTGTAAATACATTTTAGGAATTTATAGTAATACTCTTTATGAACTTTGTGCCAGTTACTAGACAAACTATATCTTTGCACTCAGAGGGGATATGTTTCAAGACCTTTGCAAAATGCCAGATTCTAATACCCCTGGCATATAATTTCTCCAGCAAAATGGCAACTAGTATAATTTCACAACTGCACACCCCCAATTAGCAGACAAGAGCAGAACTGCTAGCTCAGCTAAGTTCATTTGCTCACTTATGTAAATAATATTTATGTATATTCTCTCACACATACACATACAGATGGAAAAACACGCATGCATACATGTGCTTGTGTGAACATGTACACACATGTACAGAAACACACATATTATGCAAACTCATGTCTCAGCAAAATTAAAATTACTTCTCTTAATAGATGCATGATTATTCGTAGCAGTCAAAATCATAAATGTTAAATCTACAAATGTCCACACTAGCCTGTAAGGTTAGTATTTGTTCAGAAGACTTCTACTCAGCAGTACAACACTTCTTATTGGGTATAAAATGTTTGCTTTTTCACGAAATCACATTGGCCATTTTCTTTCTATTATTTTGAAATATTAAAGACCAACAGAATTTAGCAGCTAAGGTCATAGTGCACTGTGATGATCTGCTCTGTATTTTGTCTTTAATTGGTTATATATGATGAGGAGAATAAGATTCATTCTTTCTCTTGAAATTATCTAAAGATTATATCAAGAACGTGACAAGAGAAATAATTGAATGAATAACCAGGTTTTGTTATTTTTTTCTGGAATAATGAATTTCAACAATGATCGTCTCATTTTTTTTCACATTTTTCAATTTTTCCTTTAATCTTTTAGAATTTTAACAGCTCCACAGCCAGATTTATATAAAACAAGTGTACTCATTTGAGAAAGAGTGTGAATGTACTACGTAATTCTTTTTTCAGTTGCCACCACCACCACTACCACCAGACATCGATAAATTATTTTTGTGGTCTTTATATTTCTGAAGGCTTAAATCACTACTAAGGTGTATTGTTTAAGAAAAACAAAATGACAGGTTTTTTTCTTGAAATTAATAAAGGAAATTGCTGTCAGGAAATTCCTTCAATTTCTCTGATTAGTGTATGTCTGCGTGTTTATGTTACCTTTGTTCACTGTAATACAGGAGAAATAGTGTGACTGTTAACTCTAATTTCAAAAAGACATTAATTTATAAATTAATGAAGAGCCTAGACCATTATGATATTAAGGTTTTGATAAAAAAAAAAAAAAAACTTAACATCTTTCCTATGCCAGAAAGACAATACCTAGAAGTTATGTCTGGGCAGGTACCAAGAGTGGTAGAAGAAATAGCAGTGAAGATGAGGATGATATGGAGCAGAGATAAAAGGAAAACCTGTTAAATTCTGGCCACTTCTCAAAAATCTTTGTTGCACAGACCTAGCCAGATGAAAGCCAAAAAAGGCAAGGGAACTAAATAAAAATAAAACATTATCCATTAGTGCTTAAGCCTTGTAATTAGATTTCAGCTACTTAATTTTAATATTTTGATTTGCCATATTTTAATATCTAGAAAAAAATGTGAACGGGATGAAGATCCAGAACAGGTAAAGACTAGAAAATCCATGCTTGAAAACAGACAAACTTAAATAGCTATTTGGTTACTTTCAAACAGCGTGTTCTTCAAATGTGTTCTCTACATTTCATTTTTCAAATACAAATTCATTCTTAACTAACTCAGGAACTTAAATTCAGGAACTTTCTTCCTCTTTTTCACACTTTCTGATGAACTAGTGAAAAAAAGAATTCACATGGCCAAAGTAAAAGAATAAAATTGAGTTGTCTCCTTACTTTCCATTGTATCCATTAGATCCAAGGAAGACTTGATAGAATCTCATCATAAACCCTATTTTAAAAGTGTTCCAAGCAACACTTTTTTTAAAAAAGTGATGTGATCAGAACACAGATTGGGTGGTTACATAATTCCTTTTTAAAAGAGAACAAACTAGGACCATGCAGTATAACCAAATGAAACCTGGCAAGCAGCCCATCTTTGACACTTTATGAAGACAGTGGCCCAGGGATCCCTTTCTAAAGTTGGAGGAAAATGCCTCACACAAAGTTCAACTGTGCAGATGCTCTCTAACTAGGCTTTATCGGTAGGGATCCTTCAGAATATGGGCATGAAATGGTATAGGAGAATATCTCCATCACATAAAATTTCCCCAAGAAACCAAGTATTATTTGTATGTCTTAAAGATCAGGGAAGGAAAAAGCTTTTGTAAAAATAGGTACACACACACACCCACTCTATATACCACCATGTATCTCCTCACTAGAGGCTATCTTTTTGATGGTGTGTGATTGCTGGCTCTTACTCCAGTTAGAGTAGTTAGTTAGAATAGGAAGTCTTCCCCAAATATTTAATATTAGTAATAATGAAGACATGGATATTATAATTTGTTAAAAATAATAAATAGGAAATCAGTTGAAAATTCAAAAACTTATCAAGTTTAAATTTTAATGCATAATTGACCTATAAAATAAATTAATTTGGTAATTAAAAACAATAGTGACTTATTTAAACTGTGATTCTAATAGCATAATATCTTTTAGTATGCTTTAATCTTTCCCTCAAAACTATCTGTCCATAAATCTTGCACTATGCTAATGTTAATACTATTTTGGATTAGTGAAAGGTATATTCCCCCAGAATTGTTATTATAGTCTTATAAAATTTATTTTAGGTTATGGTGTAGAATATTGGAAGTTCCATTCTATGGACTATATGGTTTCAATTTATATTCTAAATGGTAAGATCATACTAAAAAAAACATTAAGTGAGCTTAAAATGTTGTGGTTTTTTACAACTGATTGATTTTTACTTTGGTTATTTTTATTCAGGTACTGTAAATAATCTAAACTTTTCTTTAAAATTCAGTAAATAACTCCAATATGGTTATTTTAATTGTATTTCTGACTGCTTCCAAGAAGCTATTAATTTAGAATTCTTACTCAGTAAATAGTGTATAATAATATTACCAATTAGGATATGTGTTTTTCTACAATCAAACAAAATTAATTTTACCATAATTATTAGGGACTCTTTTCAGAAAACTATGGTAAACTTCTATTCCATCACTAAAGAATGCCATACCATTTTCGCAATAGACCCCGTCCCAGCAAAGCAACATTTTAGACAATGGACAAGAAGATGTATCTCCTAGTGGCCAATGGAATCCTTATCCACTTGGGAGGCGGGATGTACCTCCGGACACCATTACTAAAAAGGTAATCAATTTCAAATTGGTGACACATGCCATGAACCTTGTACATCCATTGTGATATGTAATCCATATCTTGTGTCTTAACATCATTTCTACCTTTGTGATAAATTTAAGCTAAAGACTACCCCACTATAAAGAGAGTGGTTAACTGTAAGTACACTAAAAAGAATGGAAAATGAACACTGCCAAGTATTCAGAATTAGTAATGAATGCTTATAAACATCCTGTCACCTCTTGCAGACACTACCACTCTTAAGAGTATCTTAAGATACCCTTTGAAGTACAAGTGCAGAAAGGTATGTAATATATACTTCTTTCACTCTTGGCTTCAACAGTATGTGTATCACTTTTCATAAAATGGTATTTGACCTTAAAAAGATTGGTTCACCATTTCTAAAATTGTGACAGTTCATTCAACAAACATGAACTGAGTAACAGTATGTAGCTTACTATGTGATGAGCACTCCCTACATGCTAGAGAAACCAAAAATGCATAAAATATACTTCCTTACCTTGATCACCTTTTGATCTAATGAAGCATGTAGAGTGGATCAGTAGGTAGTACTATTACTACATGATAGGTCACCATCGTAGAAGTAAAAAAAGCTATAACTGAGAGAAGATATTTGCAACAGATGTGTAGGACAAAGGATTTGTACACCATAATGTAACTCATTAGGAAAGACACTGACACAATTTTTAAATTTGTAAAATACAAGGGGAACAAAGGGGCTAAGTAAGTCAATAAGCATGAACAAAACTGAAGCCAGGTGTTGGTGTGACTCATGCCTATAATCCTAGCTACTTGGGAGGCAGAATCAGGAAAATTGCAGTTCGAATCCAGCCTGGGCAAATAGTTCATAAGACTCTATCTTGGAAAAAAAAACCATCACAAAAAAGGGCTGGTGGAGTGGCTCAAGGTGTAAGCCCTAAGTTCAAACCCCATTCTGAAAAAAAAAAAAAAACACTGAGACCTTTTATCAATCAGGGAAATGGAAAAAGAAATGCCATTTTACATTTACTAGACTGGCAAAAGTTAAAAGTCTGAAAAACACAAGTTGCTTGAAAGCATAAGAACAAGGAAAACTCTTAAACTTCCGATGGGAATATGAAGCACAGCTATTTTTGTAACAAGGTCCCTTGTACAGCCGAACATGCGTACACCCTGCATTCCAGCAAATCTCCAAAGACATTAAGCTAGAAAATCTCTTGCACATGTCATTCAAGGTACTTGTGATGTCTGGAATGCCAGAAAACTGGGCAAACTGAAACATCTGTAAGCAGAAGATTAAGCTAATTCTGTTATTCACACAAAGGAATGTTCACAAAAATAAATTAGTAAATTATGATTACCATAATATGTGTAAACTTTTAAAACATAATTCACATGGGAAAAAATTTCAGGAGATGGCACACATCAGGAAGACCATGTTTATAAATCTCAGAAGGATAAAACTAAAATATACTGTTTAGACCTAAGTACATGTGTAAGAAAACTATTTTTATAAGGGCATGGTAAACATATTTTTAGAATTATGCTTACCTCTAAAGGGAAGGTATGAGGCAAGGTCAGAGAAGAGGGTGGTACTGCTGTTGACTCTGATCTCTTTTTTTTCTTTTTTTGCAATACTGGGGCATGAACCTGAGTGGCTACACCTTGAGCCATTCCAACAGCCCTTTTTTGTGAAGGGTTTTTTCCAGAGAGGGTTTCTCAGAACTATTTGCCCTGGTTGGCTTTGAACTGCGATCCTCCTGATCTTCTGCTTCCTGAATAGCTAGGATTATAAGCCTGAGCCACCAGTGCCCAGCATTCTGATCTAATTCTTAAACCTGATTGTAGTTCCTATAGTCTAGCTTTTAAGCTCAGCATGTTCATTTTATTATAATTGTACTTTATTGTTTACAGACACAACACATAATTATATATATTCTTTACAATGTAATTTTTCTGTTGCAGGCTTCAGTGATTTTTAAAGATATATTAAATATCAAATGTATTTCATCCAAAATAATTGGTAATGCCATTGACATGCAGACACTGTGCTTGTTATTAATTTTCCTTTTGGGCAATATCCAGCACCACAGGAAAACATAATATAATGTGATGAGTGCCATGAAGATGGGACACAGACTGTGACAGTGCCTGGAAGGACACATTTAGCAAGGAAACTAAAGGAAATTGAGGACAGAGAGTGGTGTCAAGTAAGACTGGAAAATAAACAAAAGTCAGAGCATGCTGGGTTTTATCCTACAGGAAATGAGAAGGAGAACATTGATGTGTTTCAAGTAGGGAAAAGACATGATCTAACTTTCAGTTAAGGAGCACTCTGACAGCTTTTCAGAGAGGAACTCGAGAAGAAAGAATGCAGGTAATGGAACCAGTTATGAAGCTTCTTTAATTATCCAAGGGAGAACAAGTGGAAACATAGGTGGTGGAGAGAAATGCATAAATCTAACGTAACCTTAAAAGGTAGAGCCAAAAGCATCTTATTATTGACTAGACATAGGGCATAGAGATACACGACAGTTTCATGGTTAATAACCAGTTTTCTAATTTGGTCAAGTTAGCAATGACATTACATTCACTAAGATGGGAGTTAGAAGAAGAGGTAGAATTGGAGGAAGGAAGGGAGCTTAGATTTTAATATGTTGGTTTGAAGTATCTTTAGGACATCCAAGGGGAAATGTAAAGTGAATGTTTTATTATATTTATTTGAATGTCAGTAGAGAAATCTTAGCTGAAAATACACATTTAACAATCATAAGAACATATGTTATAATTCAGCCATGAGTGAGACAGGTGAATGACACAAAATCCCATTAAACACTAACATTTAAGAGATGTACTTGGAAGAAGAGACAGAGAAGGAATAATCAAAGATTTTATCAGTATGGAGAATTCTACTGCAAGCTGTAGAATTTCAAGAGAAACAGTCTTGAATAGTAATAAAATATTTAACTAACAAACAGAGTAGTCAAAATCTAGGACAAGTCTCAGATTTAGTCCTTTGTTCTGTATTATTAAAGACTTGGATGTTTTACCTTTCCACTCTGTCACCATGTTCTTGGCTTTATCCTAAAACTGGTTTCTCTTTTAATTACAAGATGGTTTCCAATGACAATTGGTGAAACACACATCCTCTCTCAAGCCCAGTAGGAGAGACAAGCTTCTAGTTGCAATCTGTTATGAACAAAACCTTTCTCCTTCGAACCTTTCATTGATCCCAAACAGCTAAGAATTTTCCATGCCAGAAAAAGGAATGTAGCTGTCTGTTTGGCTTCAACTAATCAGTTGGAGTAGAATAGATGGGGGTCTCAGCTGTAATGACCACTAAAAATACACAGAAGGGAAAACAAAGAAAAGTGACACCTTGGAAACAAATGCAGAAAAAATATTTTAAGGAGAGCGTGGTCAATAATGTCAAATGATGCCCCCCTCCCTCCAAAATAAGCAAAATCTATGATGAAAGACTCCCTGGGTTTGGAAACCTCAAAAACTCAGTAAGGGATTTAATTCATTACAGTGGGATCTAGAGGGGAATGTAAAGAAAACAGCAGGGATATTAAAGATGGCATACATCTGAACACATTTAAAGGCTGAAGAAAAGAAGCAATCAGTGAAAGGGCAGTTGAGAATATTGGCCAGGAAAGGAGGGAACATGGTTCATTATGAGAAAGGAAGGGAGACCATACGTGTTGGAAGGGTATGGAGGGAATGTGTGGCACAACCAAAGGAAGGAACCATATTCGTGTGTTTACAAAGGGTTACTATCATTTTTTCTTATAAGGAAAGTTCTTATTTATTTATTACTCTAAATGTAACTGAGAGGTATTAATATTATCTGTTCATGCACCCATTTTATTAAAGTCTATTTTCAAAGTCTATATTAATATGTTGAATCATACCATCATACAAATCATGATAATCATTTTCTTCACTCACTACTTTCTTTAGGAGCCATATGTAAACCTGTGAATGGTTAAACATCTGTAAACTGATTAGCCTTATTAAAGGCTAAAATATTTAACCTATCTGACAACTTTATTTAGCATTATACTTCTTATCAAATGTAAAAGAATATGTCTTTAAAATTTGTGTCATGTCTTTAATGCATAAAGCCATCTGTGTATTCCTACTTTCATGATGAGTGCTACTGATTACCCCATAGGATTGCAATTTTGCGTGAAATCTGAGGTATTAGAACCTATATGTAGATATGTCTGTTACCTCACAGAATAGATACAATGAAGAATGCATCATACATTCAAATTTAGTTTTTATTATGTACTAGTTGAGTATGTCAAGTTATTATTCAGTGGGAATCAACCTAAGGAAATGAAGATGGTAAAAGGAGTATTAGCCTGAGCTGCAGTAGTTAACTGAAATAAGTGTGATATTGTTCTTATTTATTGGGTTTCCATTTTACTCTACAATAGATGCTTTTAAAAATTAATGTTACTTTTGCAGTTAACATGAAGTGGGTAGTCATTATGACAGACTTGAGAATAGAGAGCTAGAAATTGAACTACAAATGGAATGGGGTATCAAAGGAAAAAAAAATGGAGAAAATTTGTAGACAATGCCCATTTCAGTCTACTGCTCAAAACCTTTTCAGAAAATATTTTTAAAATCTTATCTTGATGCCTAGGCCATCAGAAAGTACTGAGATAGTACAGAGATTTGGTAGGAAATCAGTTTTATGGAAAGGCTCTAACTGAACTTAAGTCTCTGTGCTGTGGCAATCCTAAGTCTTTGATGACTAATATTGGTAACACCTGTGGCCTTTCCTAGCCATACTCCAGACACTGTAGAGGAGTACATGAAGGTGCTCTCCAAGCTGGAGACTCAAAGATTTCTACACATAAAATAATTAGACAAAAACACTCCTTTCCCCAAAAGAATTTTGCTCCCAAATCCACTCTTACTGCCCAGTATACTTTAGACTGGCCTAGTGATGACAAAATGTTAAGACTTTAAATCCTGTCTGGTTTTTTAATCGTGTT